AACATCCGGGGTCTCATGGAAGAAAATAACTTCGATATAAAGGCGAGAACGATGCGAAACCTGAACCTGCATCAACAATCTATACCCAAGGAACTTTTGAAGAATGAACACCTGCGCGACTTGAAAATCGACGAGGTGAGCTACGAACAAGCTCGCCCTGGCATCCTCATAGGCACCGATCACTGGGAGTGCATAGTGTCGAGAGAACTAAGAGTCGGCGAACGCGAGCAACCCGCAGCGTCGCGCACGCAGCTCGGATGGGTGGTGCATGGAACCGCGCCACGAAACACCATCTTAAGAACGGAACACGTACTGCACCTGTATGAACCGGTGCGAGAAAACATTGACCACGACCGACAGCTACACGAGTTGGTCGAAGAGCATTTTAAGATCGACGCATTGGCGATCTCGAAGGAACCACGTTTAAACAGCAACGAGAAGAGAGCAGTCACCATCGCCGAGGAAACCGTCAAGCGAACAAACGACGGCTACGAGATAGGTCTACCGTGGCGCCGAGACGACGTCACCTTACCACCAAGCTATAACGCGGCATTTCGACGGCTCCGAAAGACCGAGAAGAGGATGGACACCGACACACGTTTCGCCCAGGAGTACACCGCACAGATAGAAAAACCTGCTCAGGAAACGGTATGCAGTGCCATGCGATGGAAAGGAACGGGAAAGTAACGTCGCGTGGTACTTACCTCACTTCGCCGTCACGAATCCGAACAAGCCTGGAAAGCTGAGGTTGGTGTTTGACGCGGCCGCCAAGAGCAACGGAGTCAGCCTCAACGATCATCTACTCGAAGGGCCCGACATGCTGCTGTCCCTACCTGGAGTGCTGTTCAGGTTCCGCGAGAAGGCGACCGCAATAACCGCGGACATACAAGAGATGTTCCTGCAGATCAAGATACGACCACAAGATCAATCAGCTCAACAGTTCCTGTGGCGCGGGGACGACAGGGAAGGTGCTCCACGCGTCTACAAGATGACCAGTATGATGTTCGGAGCAGCCAGTTCGCCGTTCCTAGCACATTTCATCAGGAACCACAACGCAAGGATCCACGCCGAGACACACCCGCTCGCCTACGAAGCTATAACGAAGTGCCATTACATGGACGACCTAGTGGCCAGCTATAACGATCCGGACGAGGCGAGGCGGGCGGCGAGCGAAACGAGGACGGTACACACGGCGGCCGGCTTCACACTGCGGGGCTGGAATTCGAATCACGAAACGGCGCTGCGCGATATACCTGAAGAGCTACGCACGCACAAGCCTACGCAATTGGGACGCGACGGGTCCGAAAATAAAATACTCGGACTCGTATGGGACGCCGACAGAGACGAACTCGGTTTCAACACCTCAATGAACAGGGTGCCGATCGACGTGCGCACACGAACGCGAGCTCCAACCAAACGCGAAGCGTTAAGCGCGGTCATGTCAATATTTGACCCGCTCGGACTACTCAGCTATTTCACGATCAGAGCGAAGATAATACTTCAAAACCTGTGGCGACTGAACATGGCGTGGGATGAAGAAATACCGGCGGAAGACTCTGAAACACTCGCCACCTGGTTATCGCAGTTGCATAACATTGCGCAACTACGAATACCCCGCTGCTATTCACCGAACGGGCGCAAACGCTACGAGCTACACGTGTTCTGCGACGCCAGCGAGCAAGCCTACGCCGCTGCGGCGTATTGGCGCATCATCGGGCCGGAAGAAGACGTCGACGTAGCACTCGTGGCGGCGAAAGCGAAGGTGGCGCCGAAGAAGACACAGACGATTCCACGACTAGAACTCCAAGCAGCCGTCATCGGGGCGAGGTTGGCGGACACCATACGACGGGAACATCGCATCGACATCGACAGAACTGTCTTCTGGACGGACTCGTCAACGGTGGTACATTGGGTACGCAACGAGACGCGACGATATACACCATTCGTCGCCCATCGACTGGGCGAAATATCGGAACTCACTCAAAAGGAAGAGTGGCGATGGCTACCGACCGACCTGAACGTAGCCGACGACGCCACACGACTTTCCAGCAGATCGATAAATGCAGAAGACCGATGGTTCCAGGGTCCAGCTTTCCTGCGGTCACCAACATCTCAGTGGCCCACCGAGAAAGTATCCACGTACGAAGAAGCAGACGTCATGCATATCAGCGAAAACGATCAGTCAAGTACGTGGCTACCCGATCCCACACGCTTCTCCAAATACGAAACACTCGTGAGAACAACAGCGCGAGTGTTAGCTTTCGTCGATATTCGCATAAGAAGAACCGCCACACGTATGGAATGTGGGCACATTGAACGAGCGGAGCGACTGCTTATTCAACACGCGCAACAGCAGAGCTTCGGGGACGACATACGACGAATCGACGCTTCACGACCAATCTCTAAGTCGAGCAAAATCTATCGACTCGATCCCATCATAGAAGACGGATTACTGAAATTAAGAGGGCGCATAGGAGCGGCGTCCATACCAGCAAGCGCAAAACAGCCCGTGATCTTGGACGGTCGGCACGCGCTCACGAAATTAATCGTTCTTCGCGAACACTGCGCCGCCGGCCACGCAAGCAGGGAACGCGTAACCAACGACTTACGTCAGCGATATTGGATTATACACCTGCGACCTACAGTGCGCACAGTGGAACGGAACTGCGCACTCTGCCGCATACGCCGAACGAAGCCGCAGCAGCCCGTCACAGGAGACCTACCACGAGCCCGCCTGGACCCATTCTTTCGACCGTTCACTAACTGCGGAGTCGATTATTTCGGGCCGATGATAGTTAAGGTGGGTCGACGCCGAGAGAAAAGATGGGGCGCGCTATTTACATGCCTCACATCGCGCGCCATACACTTAGAAATCGTCTCATCGCTATCTACGGACTCTGCAATTATGGCGTTACGACGGATGGCTGCGCGAAGAGGATGGCCGCGCATAATGTATTCAGACAACGCTACGAACTTCAAAGGGGCGGACCACGAACTACGAGCCGCTTACGAAGAATGGACGTCGAGCCTGCACGAAGAGGGACTACGACATCGCCTCGAGTGGAGATTCATCCCTCCGGGCGCACCTCACCAAGGCGGAGCGTGGGAGCGGTTAATTAGATCAGTCAAGACAGCTTTAAACGCCGCCCCCTCACCGAAAAGACACCTACGGAAGAAGTGCTACGAACGTTGCTGACCGAGGTGGAGTTCTCCGTTAACGCACGACCACTGACTCACGTCAGCGTTAACCCAGCGGACCCGGAGGCATTAACTCCGAACCACTTCCTATTGGGCTCATCGACGGGACTACCCATCACCGGGACGTGCGATGCAGCGGATCGACGGGCCTGGCGCGCATGTCAAGCACTCGCCGATCATTTTTGGCGAAGATGGGTGCGAGAATACCTACCGACACTCGCACCACGCGGAACGTCTGAACAAGGGAAACGACAGCTTCAAGTCAACGATATCGTCATAATTGCAGATAATACGTTGCCAAGAAACGTATGGCCTCTGGGGGTAATTACACGCACCTACCCGGGACCCGACGGAGGAGTACGAGTCGCCGATGTACGCACCAAGACGGGCATCTTTAAGCGCCCCGTTAGCCGGCTCGTCGCTTTGGGGATTGAAGAGGCTACGCAAGCTGCGCCGGGGGGAGAGCTGTTAGCGACTCAAGCGGCTAACGGATCGCCTAAGTAATTTACAGAAGAAAATAACAAAGTGTCGCCTAACACACCGGTTGAACAGCCACATCGCGTCAAGCAACAGTTCGTCGCGCGTCCTACCAGTCAACGGCGGAGCAACCAGTCGCAGCGAAATCACCGCTTGTCGAACCGCCCTGGGTGGCGCCACGGCGACGGCGGATCGAGGCTGTGATTGGTCGACGCCCGAAGATTAGCTTTTAAACACTAGTTAATTGTCATACCACTGTCAGTGTATATATATGTGTAAATAAAAATTTGTACGATACGGCTCAATTGTAATGAAGAATAATAAACGTATAAAAGGAAGAACTCTTTTATTGGAAGAACCATTCAAAATTAATACAGTCCACTACAGTAACATTTAAACTGCAAACTTCCCCGATCGCTCTGTACTGTACAAACTGAACCTTTTTTGTACAAAGCGGATGTAAAAAGTACAGCTCAGTACAGGAGAGCGGGCGCTCTAAGGAGGAAGTTTATTGAACCGTTACTGGATATTAAAGCTTTCTTTGAGGAAATTTTCCTTTGGCCGCGTTTACGAAAACGATAAGATATTTCCTTTGCTTTAAGTTTTGCGTTTTAAAGCAACTCTAGGAATATTAATTATTCGATAGATTGGATCTCAATTAAAATTTCCTCTTAGAGTAGTTTTGAAAAATATATATTAACTAGCTGCTGCCCGCGACTACGTCTGCGTAGAATAGGCTGAAGGCGTAAAATTCAGACAGAAAGGCAGATATACATAAAATATGTATATAAATTATAGCCTATGTCATATTATGATGTATAAGCTATATTATTATAGCATTTAGTAGCATTTGCGTGAAAGAGTAACAAACATCTATCCATACATACAAACTTTCGCCTTTATAATATTAGTAAGGATAGTAAAAATTATAACGAAATTTTAAACTGCATAAAATTTTGTTACTTTTATTCGCTGGTTATTCTCAGTATTTTTATAGTTTTACTAGCTTTTACCCGCGTCCTCGCTCGCGTTGAAGCCCTTAAATAAACACTTTTTTAATTATTTTTTTTTAAATAAATAGAGTCCCATGTCCTTTTCAATACATCTAAGAATGTGTGTACAAAGTTTCATCATTATCATGGGTTGACACGGTTGATTAGTTTTGGCGTGAAAGCGTAACAAACAAACTTACATTCGCATTTATAATGTTAGTAGTGGTTGTGACTTTTTTATGGTCAATGTAAGCTGTTTGTGGGCGGTTCTTGCTATTAAGTGATTATCGCTGCCCAGGGCCATCATTAACACCGAGAGGAAGGCTCTTCCACATGCACCTCCACTTCACGCTGGTCTTCTGTGATGACGTGGTACTTCCCAAGATGATGCTGCTCATTCGTACAACAGCAGAATGTGCTCATTACCTCTACACCTCTACATCTGCTACCGTACTAGACTTTAAGATATTGTCGTACTTTGGAATATTTGACTTCCTGTATCATACAACACAATTCTTTTGTTTTATTTATGACGGCCGTACACTTTTTTGACTGCAACAGAGTTCGGGTTTTTATCATTCATCTTTCAAGTGTTGTTAAGTTTAATGCAAGTCTAGATTTGCACGTTTTGTTTTACTTAGATTAGCATTCTGTTACCATAACTTACAGCATATTACCGGTGGTAGGGTACGCAGTAGCCTCGGCCGACAGAAGACCGGCGTAAAGTGGAAGTATGACAAATACTTTCGCGTTTCGTCTGGTGAGTGAGGTAGCCGGAGCCCAATTTTCAAAAGGTTATCAAGACGTCTGTAACCCTCGGGTGTAGCAGATGTCCATGGGCGGCGGTATTCACTTAACATCGGGTGAACCGTCTGCTCGTTTGGCAACTTTTCACATAAAAAAAAAATATTGTTCGTATTAGAAAGTGAGCGTTTTCTTACATACGTACTATTTAGCAAGCCCACCACATTACGTGCTTTATGATATATATTTGGTTGAGAATACATACTGGCGGACGTCGTCAATTCGTCGAACGAAACCTGAACGCAGACAATGAGGGCCGAAAATACTCTGTAATCGATTTCGATACGAGTCTAAAATGAAAAATGTCCAACGTTAAAATTCAGCGTGGCTTTCGGCTCGCTGTCGGGCTGCAGTTCGATCTAACTTGATTTACGACTATCGTGCAACGGAACGTGACTTTTAGGTTGAAGGAAGCGGGATACTGGCTTCAGCGAAATCCCCACCGCTGACGCCAAACGAACCACTTAGCAGTAGTGCTTGCTGGAATACCGACGACAGCTTAACGATTTGTTACATATAAGAGATGACTTTGTTTGAAGCACCCTGCGAACTCTGAAATCTCAATAGCGTTTTAGCACTCACAGAAATAATTTGTTATAAGCCTTGAAATTTGCAGATAGTCGGGTGAAGTTTTACGTCGCCGCGGGAACCGAACCCGCGTCTTTCACCACTGAGGCTGAAACCTCAACGTGTTTCATCTACTTAGTTTTCTTGCATTTATTTCTTTACTTTGTTACAAGAGTTTTAACTCTTCCTAATCCTAAATCGTAATCCTATTCTTAACGGTGCTTTAGCACAAGATTGCTTGTATTTTAACCGACTTCAAAAAAGGAGGAGGTTTCTCAATTCGACCGTATATATTTTTTTTTTTTTTTTTTTTTTTGCGTGTGTTCGCGGATAACTTCGTCGTTTATGAGCCGATTTTGATTATTCTTTTTTTATCGGTAAGAAGATGTCCCAAGGGTGGTACCAAAGAAACCCGGATCTGATGATGGCATCCCAGAGAAATCGAGGGCCATTATTGAATCCTATATTAAGAATGTTTTTAATTTTCTGATTGAAATCAATTTTTTTTTTTGTTAAAAATTATTTAGACACTTATTTTGACTTGACATTTGAGTACGTTTCGGTGCGCTAGTGTCATATCAACTCGGTATTAGTATATAATCTCATTGGAGCTGGCTTAATTGTTTTTTTTTTTTAATTACGCGATTAGTTATAATATTTACGTTTATATTTTTATTTTTATTTGCAAAGCAAAGTATATTTGTGTTAAAATGTGAGGAAAATCCTCTTCCAAACTAATCGTTATCGAATCGTTTAAACATACTAAAACATCCGTTTACTATTGAAAGCCCGATCGGCGTGAGTGCTGGCGAAAGATTTTCACAAGTGCCTTAAGGTTTAACTTAGCTTGAGTTTGGTCGTAGCAAAGAATCCCGCTTTCATTCGGCCACAGAATAAGCAATGCAGTAGCTTTAATCGATTATGTGTTGTGTTATATTTCTTAACGAAGCTGATGAAATTTTAGGCAAAGAGAGGCTTCTTTTGTGTCTAATATTATTGAACTACAACTTGCGGGACGATGTTATGTTATTTAAAATTTTTCGCAAACCGAAATTTTCTGCTTTCTTGTCGTAATTCATTAACGTCTGCAAAAAATTAAACAGTGTATAATTATCTCATGGAGAATGAAAATATTTTCTTGTAATTACTATTGATTATCCCTATATTATTTAATTCTGCAATTTTTACTACCCATAAACAGTTTTACGTGATACGGAACTTTTAACAAGTTTACCTACAATATTCTCAGACCTACAATATTCTCAGAAGCTATCACTGGAAACCTTTTAATAGTTTCCGTGTATACAGGTCCCGTAATTATTATGAAATTGATAATAGTTATTTAGTAATTATCTAATGCTTTTTGGCATACCTAGTCCATTTGGTTCGTTTTTTTTTTATGTGAAAATTTGTCAAACGAGCAGATGGTTCACCTGATGGTAATTGAATGGTTCACAAGGTTGTCAACGCATCTGCAACCATGGGTGGCGGTGTTCAATTAACATCAGGTGAACTGCCTGCTCGCTTGACAACTTTTCAAATAAAAAAATAGGTACTATAGACACGAAAGTCGTAATTTAACTTAATTAAAATTTGTTAATCCTTAAAACATCGTGTTTCGTGGCGGTCTGTGGGGGAGGCCTATGTCGGACTCAAACAGGCTGAAACGATAATGATGATAAAAAGATCGCAGGTATTAGCAAGTTTAAAAATATAAAAATGCCGTACGTAATCGTAATGTACTCGAGTTGTGTAATCTCTGGAACATCTGTACTCTGCTCTGCGGAAGTGCTCTAATTGAACTAGCCATAGTCGGTAATTGGGGCCGACTTGGTCGGATCCTTTGCCATCCGAACGTTCTTAATTATCGAAATGTGCTGTTCCTTCGCGTTCGGGGATTGCGTATTTAACGAGGGCCCGCGTGTTGCGGTAACAAAGGTCGGCCGATTCTTCTCCAATGAAGGGGAAATTCAGTCTTTATTTGCTGCGAGCGACCTTTGGCAGTTTTACGCCCCTCCGATCAAAGCTCTAATTAGAAAAAAATATTTACAAAGAGCGAACGGAATTAGCATTGAATACGAATCGCTGCCAATTAACGAAGAAATAATGAGTCGCTAAACAGAAGAATATTGTTTGTGTAATAGATTATATAAATGAGAAATTAAAGCGTTAATTGATTTTTTTTTTGCAAGCCAAATTTCTGGTTGGCCATATTGATTCTATTAGTCATTCTTATTCTGAGATTCAGGATTGAAAACATTTAGACGGAATTACAGTATTATTTACTCCAAAAAATTATTTACTCCACACCATCCACATAATAATGAGAAAGTGTGTATGTTTGTCTTTCTTTCATATCGCAACGGATCGATGTTATTCTACGATTTTTGTGTGTGGAGTTAGGTAGTAATAAGATTTTTTTCAAGTGTACATTACGAAGATACGTTTCAATAGTCCGGCTGGGATGACACCCAGATTTGAAAATATTTTCCGGATAAACAATGACTTTTTTTTTTTCTGTTTCAGATTGCCTCCACTTACAACTGTACAGAGACCCGAAGGACCGATACAAGAAGGGCCAGACTAAAGCATCACTTTCACTGCAACACTTCCTGGGGTTTGAATCTGGATTCACCCTGGACAAGGAATCGAACACAATTGCTATAATATGCCAAGATGTTACAGTTGTTCTCGCTTTCGAGTCCAGGGAGAGGCTTATATCCTGGCAAGTAAAGGTCGGGGGCCAGTTGGGTTCTTCGAAGGAATACCTGGTGATGATAGGAGCGGGGGGTTCAAGGAAGCTCCCCGCTGGACCGGCGCGCTTGCATCTCCAAGGCAGGAGGTTTGCTCTCACGAGCGGTGTACCGCCTCGTCTATTGGGACTGTGGGAGATAGGACACTTGAGGTAAGCTTCTTCTTATTTTCTCCTGCCCTTATAAACACACTAGGAGTCGAAATAAAATGTACTTACTTCCACTTTCCTCTGTAAGCCGTCATCTGAATACGGTGAGTATAGGCCCTTCACAGACATATCCACATTCGTACTCATCACTTTTTTAGTCACTTGACTTGAAAATTTATTTTATTCATTTTCGTTACTGTTTTGAGGATGTATAAAGGAGAAATAAATGATGTACTAAATAAGCACATGTAGATAGTATAAAATGTGGAGGTTCTCGCTTTTAAATTGAAGTGACAACCTATATGCCTTCCAGTGATGGGTAAATGCCTCGGGTATTAGGGAAAAGCCCACCACACAACTCCACCGTATGTTGGCGGATTTACATAAATCGTCTATAATATTTCATTGTATAGAATAATAATAAATATTTTTTTTATAATTTTTATTTGGAAAATATGAAATATCCTTTCCTTATATAATAATGCTTTCCTTCATTGCTAATTACGTGACAATTAAAATTTCAATGTTGCTGACAACGATATTTGAACTTGGATTGCTCGAGTATATTGAATAAAAAGTGAACGCTTTTGTTTCAGGTCACAGAGTTCTCACGGCTCTTATAGCATATACTTTTTTATAACCTTCATATAATCGTTATTGTAAACTGGTTTTATAGACTCTAATATCTTATGTATTACAAATACGGTAATAAAAATTTGTACATCTGAAGAATAACGAATAAATATAGTTTCTATGTAACATGTAATATAGCTCTAATATAGCTTTCACTCAAATTGTATATAGTAATTTACTACATTAACTTCCATGTTGATGGGAAACCTGGATCAAAAAAAAATAAAAATAAGAGACTAAATAAGAATCGCCTATAATATAAGAAAAAGAATGGCTAAGAATCGCCTTGCTTTTAAGAGAATGGCACGGAAATACATTTTGGGAAAGCTGCCAGCAGTTTCATGATATCATCAGATAAAAATATGTATGCGTATTTGTGTATATATTTATGTATATGTATATATTTATAGTACAGTATATATATATTTTTATATATGTACACTTTTATTTAATTGTATTGTATTATGTATATATTTATGTGTAATTAGTAAAATATTTATATTTTAAATGTTTGTGCACCTACCTCAAAATCTCGGTACCACCCTAAGGTTGAAAAAAACAGCATTAAGTCCGCCTATGTACAGAGTTATGTGCATGAAGTCTTAAAATAAAAAAATAATAGATTGAAAAACTGTTCATTCAATTTGCAGGCGGTATGGAGTGGCAGAAGGCCGCTTTTGCTTCGAAGGGGGTTCACACTGCGGAAAAGGCGAAGGTTTGCATTTGCTTATCACTGATCAAGCCCAAGACATAACAGATGCGTTCGACCAAGCGGCACAAGGGAATTTTTCTCTTCAACGTCCACCCATATCTAGAATTGGTATGTGTTTATTTAACCATTTAGTTCCAGTTTTATGTATTTAAAATGACACATATTTTAATTTACACTTTAGATAAAATTTAGTTCAATGAGAAAAAAAAATATTTCAGGCGCTGAGCGTAACAAGTCTAGACCAAATACTCGCCTTTCCGATAAAAATCCAGGCGATCAATCCATACCGGATTCCGCTAGTGGTCTGTACGAGGAGAACTTCTTTGGCGAAGACTGTGGAGAACCATCAAACTTTTGGCCATCTGATGAGAGACATGGAGCCAATGATCACGAGTTCAAGCCCGAAATGGAAATAGCTGCGGAGCCACCCTGGACTGGAGCAGATCATGTTACTCTGGAGCGTTGCAACAATTGTCTTACAAAACTTGGCGTGATGACTCGTTCATCGACCGTGGCGATAACTCCAAATAGTCACTTTAATCCCGCTTGGACAATGGAATCGGTTCCGGAGAGTGGCTCTGATAATTCTTCAAACAGTGCTGAATACTTAACCCCAAAAACTACCAGAAAAATGCACGAGGCTTGTCAGTGTCAGGAACGACCACCTCAAAGGCCCCCCAAACCTCCTCAATTTGATCAAAAGAAACCACCAGCTCCATTGCCTGTACATAGTTGTGCGTGTATAGTCAATGACAATTACACAATTAACAATTCAAAGATTGGTCCTTACGAAAATTATGACGTTCCTAAAACAGCTCATACAGAGGTTAGCCAGTTTCTATAGTTATAACAATAAGTACGCGTTTCTTTAGTGTTAAAAGACTCAATCTAACTTATAGCCATAACTTATTAAATGAGACTATTAAAAAATCGACAAGTAAACGGTTCTAATAATAAACAAAAGAAAAAATATGTTATACTAATTCAATTAATAGTATTTAAATTTAATGAAATATTTTTTCAGGTTGATAATGGTGAACATTATGATACACCGAAAAGATTAAAACAAGCTTTAGCGGAAGATTTATTTCAAATAACAAACAAATCATCTCCTGGGACATTGGTTTTGAAGAAACAATGTGGTTGTATTTTAAAATTTGGTTCAGAAAAGAAGCCACTTATTGTTGAATGCGATGAAAACTTACAGCCAGTGGAATGTCCCTGCCTAAAAGTTACTAATTGGGCAAATAATTTGATTAGTCTACCTTATTGTAAAAAAAGTTCTAGCAGTGAGAGAGTAAGTACGGAAGTAGCAGGAAATAACAAATCGGACGATATGGCTATATATGCCACAGTAGACGTCTCACGCAAAACCAACCGAAAAAGTGCAGTGACTGATAAAGAAAATTCACACGAATGTTGTCACGAACCAGAACTTACGAATTATCAAAACGTAGAACCCAAAGATGACAAACAATTTGAAGGTCCTTATGCTAACTATGAGAACCTTGAATTTGCTTTATCACTTGAATTTTATGAAAATGCCAAAGATTTGTTGAAAAAAGCAGGGGTTACACAAGTGGAGTTAGATGCGTTGAGTGCTAACATAGATCTTGCTGTCACATCACAACCTAAAAAATCACGTGTTTGTACAAAATGTGTTCACACTACACCACCTTCAACAATGGAACAGCAAACAAAACGAAATAAAAGCGATGAATATTTACTTATGGAACCAGCAAAGGAGGTTAAATGTGAAATAGTTAAAGGAATTAATCCTGGGTATACGCCAATGTCACCTAATCCAAACTGGTCCCAAAGTTTGAAACATCCCATACATAAATTGCACAGAGCGGACATAGAGAAATCAGTAAGTATACCCACCCTCAGTGGCACCGGTAACACTGGTCATAATGTGGGGAATCAAATAAGCAACAATAATCGAGAAGCTATGCAGCAACGTTCAAGTTCAGTTGATTCCGCTAGATTATTAGAAGACTTAAAAGAGTTCGACAGTAGTGTCGGTAGCCATGCTACATCTTCTTCGTTGGAAACTTTAAGAAATTTGGCCATTGAAAGTCGTTTACTGTCACCATGTGAAATAGATAGAGAGTGCTACGATTGTTGTAAATCCTCTGGCTCAGAGAATAAAACGTCCGAAGAAAGCTCAGTGAAAGAAATATTACACTTACGTAATAAACACATGGACAATGCTCAAATTAAAAGGTCTTCAAGTGTACCCTGTAAGTCGGGTGGTAATAGGGACTCTTCTAGTTCGAACGATTCTGGTGTATCCAGTTGCTCACTAAAACATGGTGGTGGAGAATTTCAAGAATTCGAAATGCCCATGACATCCATGAATTCACGATATCATTATATGGTTCATAAGAAATTAAGAGGTAATCTGACCGGTTGCCTCCATTCATCTTTGCCGAGAAAATCGAAGTCTTCAGATCCGCTAAGAGACCTTTCAATGCAATTGCACAAATCTACAGTTCCTGCCAAATCTTCGTCTGCTGAGGCTGAAGTACCGGTTTTGCCACCAAAACAATTTAAAGGTAACATTTTACAGTTGAGAAATTAATTAAACAATATTGATTCAGCTTCTATTACAACTTAACAAAAAATAAATAAACGCTGCGACTAAAAATATGTACAGCGTATGAACAATGTACCATATCGAAAAAAGACGATTTAATACAGTTTTAGGGCCAAATTTCTTGTACATTTTTTTATTTCTCATTCCAGGCGTAATGGACACGCACAGCACATCAAGCGGTACTTCTGATATGTCCGACTATATAGAAACTTTATCTTTAACATCCTCGCATTCATCATCCGACACTCCGACAGGTTTAAGGTAAATTCATTCTAAAAATGTTTTTTTTTTTTTTTTTAATATAATTACTTTAGTTATCTTGCTTTACTCTTTAATAAATAGAGAAAAATCGAGGTAATCGAGTAAATAGAACTAGAACTAAGAAATCACTAAATATTTTCAATGAAAAGTGATTTGATCGTATCCTAGTAAAATCCTACAATAAGGCCAATTATGCCAGATATTTAGTATATCTTAGATAATTATAGAATACAATACGATGCTTTCAGGTATGATGGATTGTAAAGCAGTACATGAAAGTACAATCAATACATCAATTATATTATATATACAAAATAATGTATGAGTTGCTGTTTATAACTGCTTCCTTTTTCCATAAAATCTAGATATTATTTTAAGACTGTAATAACATAAACATGTGAAAGAATAACCGTAGGCAGTAATTCATTTAACCCCAAGCCAATTCAATTGCGCAAAATATCTAGACGACTTTTATGTGGAAAAGGCATGTTTGTCATCGATGTGTAACGAAATAAAAAAAGAAAAGTCAGAAAACTCACTCGTGTTGGCTAAAATATTCACGGACAACGAAAAAGCACATACACTTCTCTTTTGTTTGTGACGTAGTTAAAACACGAAGTGTTAAAGGAAGTGTGCATCAAGTTTCAATAACTATCTTGACGAACCGATTGGCGTGGGGAGAAGTGACCCTGCCTCTTGCGCCAGAGGGTGTGGGTTCGATCCCCACAACTGGAAAATATTGTGTGATGAACATAGTGTTTTTCCAGTGTCTGGGTGTTTATATATGTATAATGTGTATCTATTTACAAAAAGAAAAGTATGTTAAAGCGTTTATCAGTTATCTAGTAAGTAGTAGTGTAAAACATTAGTCCGAAATATTTTTTTATTATTATCTAGTCCTTGGAACCATTGCAATGTTTCATCCCATTGGAAATAATTACTATCATTTTTTCTAGGCTCAGCCGCCAGCCAACAAGCACCCTGCGACCTCGCTCTGGCAAAGAATATCACAACAGAGATCCAATTCTCACGTCAATGTTCAAGAACGGTAAAGACCTAACTAATTATGGTAACATTCAGTAGTCTTCTTATAAATATAAAACAGTTATTATCTTCTGTAATAGACGTAGAAGCTACAAAATCCTTTTGAGATCAATTGAACGAGTGAAACATGTTGATAAAATTTGTAAATTATTAAACATATAAGATAACATAGTGATAGCTGTTGCTCTTTAAGACAAACTTAATGAGTCGACTTTTATTTGTGATTGTTTAAAAAGTCTGTATCGAGAAAAAGCATTATTTTTATTGGATTCTTATAATATTCGTAACTCTACCGCTACCTTATTTTAAATTTAATGATATGATGTTTTAAGTACAATTTATTTTTTTATATGGTTTAAGTGACAAAATTCTGTAAGTAATTTGTAATTCACGAATCTATATTCGTGAATCTCTAATATTTAGTAATAATTGTAATAAAAAACAACAATAATAATGGATATCTATAGTCACTTAACTTTTTACGTTTCCTACTCTTCACGATTACAATTTTACTAAAGTTTCGTTGTTCTAATCTTTCAAGACAAGTTCATTTACATGCTTTTATTATTAATTAAGCTTTTAAAAAAATAATCTTATTTAATAACATTTATTATTTTGTATTAAGAAAATTTTGATGAGTGTTTAAGTTATTTGTATATTGAAACTTTAATTCATTCATGTTAATCCTAAAAATATTTTATAGGTTTAACAACCGAAGGTAAGAACTCTTTAATTAAGTCGTAGGTTTTCTTGCAAACTCGGTTTTAAATCTGTCCGACACCAATATACCCAAAATCCATTCTGGTTTATATAAATCAACTAATTTGCAATTGAAAATTGTTAATAATAGATATTAAGCTCGTATTGAAAGGAATTATTCGTGAAAACCGAAACACCATGTTAATTTTGTTAATTAAACATGAACATGTAAAGCTCACATTTTGTACTTTATTTTTAGCACACATAAGACTGAATTTAAGAATAATACTTTGTTATCTGATAAAACATTACGTTTGCTTTATAATATCCTAGTCACAAATAACCATTGTAATATATTGAACCTATAATGATAGCGGTGTAATAGAGATTGTATTAAGGAAAGTTATGTATAGTTGTAAAAAATAAAGTGGGGTAATATAATAAACAACGATCGCAGATTCTGCTGTAGTGAGAAGTTTTTAAAGTGGCGTTTTATACGGTTCATTATTCAAATGATAAAACGATAGAAAATGTAATATTATATTATCCCTATGTCATGCTCTTGTTTCTTTAGATAATATATGATTATATAATGATTTTTAAAGAGCCCGTTACATTATTTTCATGTGTACCGTTTCCTTATCGCGATGTGAACTGACGACATCGCTCTACATTTATTAAGTAAGAAATCAAATATTAAGAAATCAAGTGTTGAAGTTAAAACGATATACGATCAAAAGTACTTAGTGTCATATTCTGTTCTTTTAATGTATTGTTATACTAACTAATTAACTGATTTTTTCTAGTATTAATTTCGGTATTCCCGAAGTTTTAAACAACTTAAAGATTTAATAGTCACGGGACATACTGACCAGTCCGCAGTTAATTTTATTTATAAAACTGCTGCAAAAAACCTCGTATCTCGATTTTTTTTTAATATGTAGCTATTTCAGATCCTTCTGATTTACTTTTGTGTTTATTTCATGTGCGATTTGTTCTCGTGTATTGTGAACTAGATTTTAGCGGCGTGGGACGATAAAGTGCAATATGCGAAGTGCATTTGGAAATGTTACTCATGGGTACTCCTTTTATTGTTTGTCTAATTCGTGAGACCCCCTATTTAACCAAAGAATATTTTTAAATAAGGACCGTATGTAAAATATGAAAATTGTGAGTGATATTATGGCGTATGCCTAAGATTATTATTCATTTATACATTTATTCCCATTATCGTTGAGCCGCCTAACTTGGTAGTAAAAGCACGTAAGCTTATATCGTAAGCTTAGATCATCATGTTTGTCATTAAGGATTTCTATAGGCGTATCGCTTTTCAAGTTGGGCGACTCTATACGTTTTATGTGTACGTATATTATGTATATCAAGTAGCTACATCGCTAGTTTATATACCTACCTACCTATATCGACTATCTCATCCTCAAGTTAACTATGTAAACTTGCAAACGCATATTGAATAAATATAGTTATTTGTAAACAAAACGGTATTTTATTTTTTAATTTTGCAACTGCCGTGTACTTGTATCTGCTATTATGTTTTTAGCGGGATCGCAATGGCTTCGGTAGTGGATTCGATCCCAGAAGAGACAAGTATTTGTGTGACCCACAGATATGTTTATTCCTAAGGAGCCTAGCAGGATCACTCTAGCCAATACCATTAACAACACGATTCACAGGTTGTGCCGATCAAACCTAGGTGAGATAGGAGCAGGAGGAAATGAAAAAAAAAAAAAAAAAAAAAAAACTAAACTAGATTCTAAAACTCTGAGAGCAGCTACAAGTTCATTTTATTTTTTATGTGAGCAGGTGACAAGTGGGCTGGCGGTTCACCTAATGTGAAGTGATAGCATAGATGCTTTTAATAAAGTAGGCCCTGGTTACCTCGCCGGAAGAAACACAGAAGTGTAAAACTTCTACTTCACGGTCTTCTATGAGGTCGATGTACTTCCTCGGATGGACCTAACCATTCGTGTATCAGCGAAGACTTTTGGATGGGAAAGCTACATACAAAAATAGCTTGTTAGTGATCAGTAAATAAATCTTTGTATAAAGTAACGAGACAAATTAGATAAAAAAAACTCTCCCTTTGTAGAGTAGTAATAAATAAAAAAGATGGGTGCGTGTACTTATGAGAAGTTATACTTCTTTGGCATCTTTAAAAATACTTTTTATTTGCATGCAAATAATTAATTGAAATAAAATAATAAAAGGACTGGAAAAGGAAATAAACAATAAAAATTATGAAAGTGCCATCTAAATTCTTTATTGAGAAATATAACGGCCGAATGTGATTGAGAATAACTATGCTGCCATCTATAAAAAGATAAGGCTTAGCGGGCAGCTTCAAAGGTGTGTCTTTTGTGTTACAGTGATGCGCGCGCATCTTAAAATTTCTCATCATTTTTTCAAAACGCGCCTTGAGAATAAATTTAAAACTAAAACCACAAATATTATGATGTAGAAATACAACGACCAAAAATTGATTCAGCGTAAGTCACGCCGAGCTCATAAAAAATTGAAGCCTCTCCAATTACGAACAGAATTGCCAGTTGGGAAAGTTAGAAAGAATTAATTATTCATGGGTATGCAAAATCTTCGTCCCGCTCACAAAGGCAGCCTTTAATCCCTAAGCAATGAGTGGGCAGGCTCAGTTATATTTATATTAGCCAATCAGCATTTCAATTTTCGATTGGCGTGGATGTTGTCCGTCCGCTCAGATTTTTATTTCAAAAAGCAATGCTGATTTCAAATGTTAATAATGAAACATATGAACAAAATGTAGTGACATACGGACGTCGACTTTAACTACTAGTATTCAAAGTCAAGTCAAAGTCAAAATTTCTTTGTTCAATATGGGCTTAATTTAAGCTCCTATTGAACGTTAAATAAACTACCACCGTTTCACTAAACTAGACCTGGCCAGAGAAGTACCGGTAAGAAACTCTGCGGTCTTGTTATCTTTTTTTTAGACATACATAATATACCTTTACTAGTGAAAACTACTTGCTCTGTTAGTCCCGTTGCTGGTCCCTTGTTGCCATCTGATCCTTTTCACCCGCCATTTGTAATTAATATATCATTTAGTCAATTGATGCCAGAGCCAGTATTACTTTTTAGAACTTGCAATACAATTTCCGTAAGACCAAGTTCGATTTTATAGACACATCGGAGAAACCGATTAGGCTGCTGTCCTATACCAGCTACGATGCAAAGACGCACTAGACAAATTTTACAGTATAATATAATAATAATAATAATAATTTTGTAGTAAAAACATTGCCCTCACTTTAGGATAACATTATCCTGTGTTGTAAGGACGTTTTACAAACATAAATTGCACGAGGACAAACACCCAGATGCGAAACAACTATCTGTGGGTCGCACAAATAGTTGTCCCGTGTGGGAATCGAACCCACGACCCCCGACGCCGAAGCCAATACCTTGGCAACGGCGCCACGGAGTCATCAAAGTATGTATAAACGGAGTATGTTAAGTATATTACTATATCTGTTGAAAGAACAGACTTATCTGTTTGTTTCTCCCAACGATTGATGAAAAATTATAAAAAAAACCATCGCTTTTGTATTAAATGGAAAAACTTTTTTTTTCAACTTAAGTTTTCCGAGATGGGGTCAAACTTTTACAAGATATTTAGCAGCTGTTACAGCTCTGAAGATAATGTTGGTTCAAGGACTGAAAATCTCATATCCAATATAAAATGCTTCTGGTGAAGAGAACCTAGGTCCAGAATCCCAGCTTTAATGCAGTAACAAAATTATAAGCTAGCGATCCAAAGACCTCATATGTGGAATGTTCTCGCATTATTCCATGTTAGTCTTTGAATCAAAATCCACTTCCCCGACAGCTTGGAAACCGCTTCCAACCATATTGATAACAAAAGAACCATCAGTGATCTGAATATTAGCAAGTCTGAAATATTGACGAATTAAAAAAAACGTCTCTTGTGACTCTTGAGCAAAGGTGCAGAGGAATGAATAAGGCAGTTATCTTTAATAATAATAACAAATATATAAAAGCCAAATAGGGCTTATTTTCCGATTATTTTACTTTGATTTGATTTTATTTCAAAATAAGAATGCCATAGAAAGTGTACTAGAAAATTCTGTTTATTTTTTTGATAACATGGAAATAGGAAATAAATATCTCGTAAGTGAGTTATGAACGGTTTCTCCAGAAACAATCAAATCTGAGGTTAGGCACGGTTCGTTAGAGCATGTTCGGATGCCAACAATGTTGAGTAAATCTAATAAGTTCTTCAACTGGCCTTTCACAAATAAATTTATCGAATCAGACAATCAACC